TATACTTACATACCAGAATTGTTTACTGTATACTTACATACCACACTTGTTTACTGTATACTTACATACTAGAATTGCTTACTGTATACTTACATACTAGAATTGCTTACTGTATACTTACATACTAGAATTGCTTACTGTATACTTACATACTAGAATTGCTCACTGTATACTTACATACTAGAATTGTTTACTGTATACTTACATACTAGAATTGGTGCGGTCATCCCAGGCAGCCGTGGAGCATGGAATAAAAACAGAAATAGTCACTGTTGAACAACGACTTCACAAAGAGACATTGGTACAGACATATACAACAGACAATTTTGGTCACTTTCAATAGATCTTGTTAACCGTAGCAGTCACTTCACAGAGAGTAGATCTATGTAACAAATTGTCACTTCACAGAGAGTAGATCTATAGTAACAAATTGTCACTTCACAGAGAGTAGATCTATAGTAACAAATTGTCACTTCACAGAGAGTAGATCTATGTAACAAATTGTCACTTCACAGAGAGTAGATCTATGTAACAAATTGTCACTTCACAGAGAGTAGATCTATAGTAACAAATTGTCACTTCACAGAGAGTAGATCTATGGTAACAAATTGTCACTTCACAGAGAGTAGATCTATAAGTAACAAATTGTCACAGGGAGTTTTGACCACATTTGACAATGAAGGGTAACCTGGTCTCATGTAACGGTGCGTGTGCAATACACTTACGTCAAGTTTCCCCTCCATTTTCCTCTTCAGAACCCTAAAATGCACACAAAAAAGTGATGTTTGAGCTCGAAAGCAGAAACTCTGAAAATTTGCTGACCAGTGTAAAAAGATACTGAAACTATCTGCTTAAGTCAAAGGACTTACAATACAAGTAAGACAATACACTTACGACAAATGACTTACAATACACTTAATTAAGACAAAGGACTTACAATATTACAATACAATACTTACACCCTTTTGGAAGATAGCACAGCATCCGGACCCAGGAAAGAAACAAAGACAAAAAGTCAAACACACGTACAAGCACGTAAGTGCTCCAGAGACATTTAGCGTGGCTGTAGACTTGTTTTCATCTGGGTTCTTTTGTAAGTTTTTTACGGTGCTCGCAACTGCATAAGGTCATATGAGAGCGGGGGACACATTTAACTTTTTCCGTTGGTGGGAAATTTTGAATTTTTGCCCGGGTCACAGCCGTAACCTACTCTTATCGATTTTAGACCACCAAGGGATCTTTAACATGCGCAACTTGCACACAGGACCTCTGAGATTTTTCGCCCTTTGTTTTTATCGTCTAAAAATAACTCAACCCTGAACAGAGTTGACAAAATTTAGACATAAGATCCGAATACCAAGATTAAATCGACAAAAGTTTGGTATGTTCGTGAACTTCCCCTTCAGTCAACATTTATAACTACTTTGTTTTCTTGTAAGTTAGGAGTTCTTCAAACAGTGCAAACACAGACTTAGGAAGATCTTTCCACAACTGGACAGTTTGCCGATATATAGATCTATATGTGGTACATTTAGTATTTTGAAATACTTACATTAATGAAATACTTACATTAAAGAAATACTTACATTAACAAAATATTTACATTAATGAAATACTTACATTAATGAAATATTTACATTAACAAAATATTTACATTAATGAAATACTTACATTTATGAAATACTTACATAAAAGAAATACTTACATTAAAGAA